GGAAGACTGCTACGATAACAACAATACAACCGAAATTTTTACTTCGATGGAAAACAAATTTTTCACCGACATAGTTTTACAACGAGACGATAATATTTGAAAGGAAAAATACCTTTCGAAGAAGTAACGCGAAGATCCCTACAAGTACTGCGAAGTAGATGAGATGAAGATCGGGAGCTGGATCACTATAAACTGATTCCATTGCATTCCTGAAACTACTAATAAAATAGTTAGGTTTGAGTAAAAACATAGAAATTAGAAATTTTTAGGGGGGAATAATCAAAGAATTAGTTCGACTTCCGTTTAAGTTGAAGATCTTATGATGACCTTTTTCGAACCACCGCCACCGTCTCCTTCATCAGTGAAGCAATGTTCGAGTGAAATCCTTTGATTATAACTAAGCCGGCAAAAAACGCACCTCGCATTATTCCAGTGTATGTTCAAATCAAATAGCGGATATGTCCACCATAGCCATGGTTTCGTGGGTCCCATTGTGTAGTGAATTATTGCTGGCTCAACGAGAAGCTTTCCACCATTCAAATAATACATGCCGATATCATAATTGAACTCAGATGAGAGTCTGGAAAAAGAAACTACAGGACCGGAGCATCCAGAACCCGTTCTAAGTATTTTTCCGATCATTGGAGACTGCTTTGCACTTTCGTATCAGCTACTCACCACACGAAAGTAGCCAAACAGGCAGATCCCAGGTTGTTTGAAAAGATTAATTCCACGCCCAAAAAAAGGTGGGACCGCTCTGTAGGCGCACTGGTTGAGCTAAGTGAGCAGGAAGTTAGAGGCCTCTTGTTACCCACATGACTCAATCCCTAGCCTGTGAATACATATACGTTCAATTGGATACTATCGCACATGTATCTGCCTGCGTTTCGCTGGTCTCTGCTCTCTCTCGTCTCTTTAACCTCTGCGCTATCGCCCTGACGCCCATTATATCCTATGCGGAAGCTCGTACTACGTTCGAACTTAGCAGCTGAAAGCAAGCTTCTGTTAGTATGTTCTAAGCAGTATCTGTTGCAAATGGGGTGTCCCCCAAGAGGCCCATCGCGCGGCGAAGGAAGAGACGCAGATGCGGCAAAGGACGAGTCGCAGCGCGTGCTGTGCGATATGAGACGTAGTATGGTACACTCTATTAACTTGTATAATGTAACCTATACGAAG